CGGCCGCCCCTCCAATGAGATCCCGCCTGCGCTGCTCATGAGCCCCTCTGTGATGTTCAGAAACAACAATAGCAATCTTCACAAAAGCAAAAAGCAATTATGTAATTGTTGGAGCAGTATGCTGATGACATCACCATGCTACATATATGATGGCTCAACACAGGTGTACATTGGGTCATTCATCATCTCTGTTGCTGAGCCAGTATTTCAACATTTACATTCAGCAATCTTTTCTATTACTCCAACAAAACAGTTGTGAGCAAAATATTCAATATGATTTACATGCAGTAAATAAATATACTCAAATCTGCCTTGGTATCACCTTCCCGTAATCTCCTGCACAGCGGTACCCAGACTAGGAGAAGGTGGGGCAATAGTGAGCCAATCAGGATTCTACTACTTAACATAGTGGTTGTGAGTCTAGTACTCATCTTGCTTACAGAAGAAAATAAAACAGAGATGACCTCAGTAATGTGCTGCTACTCCCTTACTGTCCAATCAGCAATCAGGTGACTAAGGAAGCAGAACGTCAGGTGGCATTTGTTTCTACAGTCACCCATCAGATGGTGCAATACGATTACCAATATTTCAGTAACTAGCATTTTCAGAAGGGGACCTACTCAATGACAGATTCTGCAATTCTTTTTATGACAGATCTTTTAAGACAGCCCTAAAATTTCACTGTAACATTAGACACACAGAAACAGGGATTAGTACAGATATTAACATCAGAACTTGAACAGCAACATGTGTACGTGGAAATGCAGGCTGTAAGGTAAGGTACAATTTGAGATACTGCAGACTCTATTGCAGCCATAGATCCTACTAAGTTATGTCCTTGACTATAAATTCTCATCCATAAGCAATGTTAAAATTAGGTAGAGCGAGTGTGAAAAATAAAAGTAAGCATCACCAAATAAAGAGCATATTAGAACCACGTGTTTATAAGACGAAAACGTGAACCAGGCGGGCATACTGAATTCAAAGCTGTTCATCAATGCTGTTTGTAGACAAGAGGCCAATGGTGCCACCTTCAGGAAACAACTTTATTACAGCACAGCTATTGCATCAAAATTCTCCTTGCATTTCTATTCACATCATGATATACCAGGATTTGTAGAGCAGTAAAGCCCATGGAATACAGCTATAAGGCCTGGTATCAGAGCCAAATTAAGGGACTCTAAGCAAAGTAGCAGCTTTGTGACTCTGGACCTGGAAGTACTATGCAGCTAGGTAAAAAAAATAGATCCTTCCTTGAGACAAGTCTCCATTGCACACACATTGATTGCCGCAATGAGTAAAACATGTACAGTGAAACTCTGACTCTCTGATGCAGTCAGAGACAATTATTTTTTTCAATAGTAAGTTTACATATAGTTTCAAAAAACCTTTGAAGAGCACTATGAACAAAGAGCACTTATAACACGACTAAGAACAATATTTACATATTCAGAACAAGCACTTTAAAACAAGCTCTCGCTAACCTCTCTAGCTGTAGGGACACTATGAAGAAATTTAGCTTCAACATTCACAGGCACTTAAATCACAGCTTCTCTCTCCTTATTTTATATTGTAACAGGAACCTGCCAGTGTAAACAAACAGCAGATATTGTAAACTGTTAGAAACTGATTAAAATACAATTTCAGAGTCCCTGTTGTGGTCCTTGAGGATGAATTACTCCACAGTACCTGCAGCTAGAGATATCAGGGATGGCCAAAAAAATAAAAAGTGAACTCCCAACACCCTCTTTACCCCACAATCCTGGTCCCTTTGCAACTTATCTGTAGTGGTGACACTCGCCCATCATCAGCTGATATAACAGTCAGGGAATGTGAAAACTGTACTACACACCACTGGCGGCTGTTTAGCAACATAAAGGTTGCAATGGTCAACAGTGATTGATCAGCACAACTATGTGACCACACTGACCAATGAGAATCTCTACTGAGCCCTCTTTCTCTGCCTTTGGGGCAGTGTAGTCAAGTTTCCAAGTTTCCAGACTGCTTTACCGGCTGGCAGGGGCAGCAAGGGAGGGTCATCATTACAAATAAATAGCACAAGGCTCGGGGTGGAGGAGGTAGTTGGGAGTTAGTTTGACATTTCATTTTTTGTGACAAGGTGAATTAACCCTTTAATGTCCAAAGTCTGTGCATAGGTTCACTTTAAAGGAAAGCAAAAGTGCCCCCTTTCTTGGAACAGAGCGGTTAGAGTTATATTATTAAATGCGGCTGGTCTTTTGTAGAAATAAAAAGGAGTTTATATCTCCCATCACCCATTTCCCTTTATATTAGTTCAGCAAGTTCATGCAAGCAGGATTATGTTATCTTTTGTTCATTGTTTGTTACATTTTGTTATCTCTGCTATTTTATTTTATTTCCTCGCAGCACTGCAGAACTTTTAGGTTTAGGTGTTATATAAATGTTTTTATTATAATATTAAAAATACTTTTTCTGCTACACCAAAAAAGTCACCTAATACAATTGTCTCAAGAAAATACCTGTTTTTGTCAGTGGGCTTGAGAAGAGCTGCTGAAGAAGCTTATTTTCTGATGTCCTCAGCACAACCACAATGTCAGCTGGCAGAGTGTCTCTGTTCTTCTCAAGAAATCCACAGGCATCATATAGTACCTGCAAGAGGAAGAATAAGTATTAATGGATACATGCCCTCTGCAAAAACCAATATCAAATGTCATACACATAATTTCAAATATCTATCAAGCCTGTGACACACTGCATGAGAAGTGGCGCATAGCAAAAGGAAGCGGCGCCACGCAGACCTTCGCCTGCAGTGTATCTTTACATTTTCGTTGCGGCGCGTCAGCTTGCAAGAGCTAGCATAGCTGAGCATGCCGAGATGAAAAATGTAATCTTCAGCCAATCGGCTTGTGCGTATAAACTGACATGCCAGGATACTTTCATACTGCAGGCTGGAAAGTGACAACAGGTGTTTGGTTCTCCCAATATTGACATTTACTATCTCGGCACTTCTCAGCTATAGAGGCAGCCAGCCAATCTCTACTTCTTCAACTAGTTGTTCAGTTAAAAGAAACCTGTACCAAGAGAATATGGAGGCTGCTACTGCTTGGTGTTTATGTGTTTAGATGAAGCACTGAGATTTTGAGGAATGCTGAATTAAGTTTTATTGCTTAGGAGAATACTACATCTGAATACAGCATTGTTGAAGGAAACATACTGTATATACAGATAGAACTTCCTGTATATGTCATAGACAAGTATGCACATAAAAAAACAACATAGACCAGCATTGCACTACAGCGCTATTTACTACTCAGAAAACATAATTACATCTGTGAATGTCAGTAGTACAATCAGTACATATCAGAATAGGCTGTTGTATTTCCAACACTGCTTACATCCTAATTAAATGCTAGATGCCTGGCTGCTATGATGATCCACTGGCTTTGATACTTTCTGAGACACCGACCTGGAACAAATATGTAGACCAGGGGCTCCAAATTTTTAATCTGTATGCTTATGTTGGTTCATTGAATTGGAGTAATGAATCCAGAGACCGCCGGGCAGCAAGTATTCTTAAAAGGTGCTTGGACATGGCAGCCCCTATGGTGCCCTCAGTACAGGATTCCTGTAGGGCTTATTCAGACCTATGCATTTTAGTAACGTACTGTAAAACACACATTTTAACGCAAATTACCGCAGCATCTTGAATAGCACTCCAGCTCATAAACCAATACCTACCCAATGCAACTGTGTTACAGTGAACCACAGTGCACAGTAACACACTATAGGGCATTGTGCTGTGCTATGTCTGACCAGATAGGTCTGAATGGGCCCTTACTCTTTGTTAGTGCAGACACATACATTGTACGTGTACAAAATGCTGGATTTTCATTATATCTGCTTTTAAATTACCAGAAAATAACATTACATGCATTTATCCTCAGGATGTAAAGAACTGAAGTAGAGACTCTACAAATCATATTTATAATTATACAAAAGCAATAAATATGCAGATTAATCCAGATTTACCTTCCCAGCATAATGTTGGATACCGAAACAAAGCTCAACACGTTTTGGCCTCCAGAAGTATTTCAATCTCAGATTGTCTTCAAATTTATCTGTGAAAGCAAAAGTATATTTGACTAATTTGCTTTACTTTAAAGTAAGGCTGTATATACAGTATATATGGCTGGTTTGACACCTGCTGCAATTCTCCAACACAGTTTGCCACCTGACAATCAAGTTCCAGAAGGGTCTCCATCTAGTCTTTACCTTTTTTGGTCTGTGAGACTTGCTGCCCCAGCTCCCTACCAGTACCAATAGGCACTTTAGTTGTCACCAGCACAGGTTCCCCCCTGTTCTGCTACAACCTTAAAATGTTGGATCCCTATCTTCCTATCACCAACAGAAGAAATAGAGAGTGTAAATCTCCCAGACAGCAATTAAAATCTGATATTGAGTCTAACCCTTTCCTACTCTATTTAAAAAAAAAAGGTTTGGGCTGTAGAGTCCTTTTACCTCAGAACAAAAAATAAAAATACTTTATCTTTAACCTAAAGCATAAATCATATACAAAGCTTCAAAACTTTATATGTCTTAACCACTTCAAGACCAGGTGTTTAGACCCCCTTCCTGGCCAGGCCATTTTTCAGTGTTCATGCAATTTCATTTTTCCTTAAAAGTCCAAGAAAAACACTATACTACACAAATGAAATACTACTTTTTGCTATTCTTTAAAGGAACTTGACATAGAGTACCTGTAGTCTGGGATACCAATACTCCTTTAATGTATACGAATTGGCATTGAGCCCACCTTGGTTTACAGGTGTTGGTAAATGAGCATGTGGCAGACACAAGTTTGTCTTCTTGTGTCTATGGGGTCTAAACAGTTTTAGCTTTGTGATCCTGTGATCCATACACTGAGCACACTTAGGAAACACTCAAAGGGTCATTTCTGGGAACTCTGGAGTATATCTATAGGACAAGGTTGTGTGTATACCAGTTTAAATGTCCTCAGCACCCAGGATATAGAAAACAATGTGAAACATGTCTTGGTGTGAGGACTATAGTTCATATTTTTTTCCTACCAACTAATGTCTGATCTGTCGCTTGGGGAAATCTGCTCTCCTCATCAAGCAAGGAAAGCAGACCCATCGGTTTCTGTAGAAACATGTCCAAGAGGGGACGATTATCTTCATACTTCACCAGGGCAGCATCTATTCCTTCACTCTGATATTCCAACTGTAGAGGAAATCATAAACGTTACGCATTCATCACAAGTATTAAACAAAGCATTCTGTTTAGAGAACGTTTACAGTTTGTGCACTGACAAAATAAAGAAAGCGCTCTACAGGAGCTCTACCCAAAACAGATATTTCCGTTTGAGTGCTACAGAGGACTGATTTACCCAAATCATTTTTATATCTCAGAGATTTTAAATATGAGATCTCCCCGTTGGAGTTTAGGCTTTGCCCTCCTATGCCAGGTGTCTATATGTTCTTGCTATGTTCTAAACAATTATAAAATGGAATTAAAGAATTCAATAGAGAGAGGGACAAACCCATATACAGTAATAGTTATGGCAGGTGGCAAATGCTAAGATCTTGCTGCTGCAGCCCCTGAGGGATATGAGGGAAGCAGCTGGTGGGTGAGCGATTCATCCACAGAATTTATCCAGAAACCTACATATGTTTTGAACAGACAAAGTCAAAACTTTTTTGGGTAAGTGGCAATTTTAACCCTTACTTCAAGTCTCTTACTATTTTTACAGTACAGTACTGAATTTCAGAAAGCCTTCTTGATATATCAGGTTCTAAATCCCAGCCCTAAAATGTTTATTTCGCTAGTTCTGGTGCCACCTTGGCGCAGGGTGTGCACTGGAGGAGAATCCCCAGTGACATTAGCTCATCTCCAGCTCTCCTTCTGCCCATAGAGGCTGTTTGGCAGCACAGTAACTTTCTGTGCAATGCCTGTTGAGTGTTATGCAGTACAACCCCCCCGCCCCAGTATCATGTGTCTACAGACTGTACATTACATCACACAGTATATTACTAGTAAATGCCTTTGCATCAATCCTTCATCCTAAAGGCCGTGACACACTGCACGCGAAGCAGCGCGGAGCGGGGGCGCGCTGCCTTTGCGAGCAGTGTGTCATGTAATTTTCTGCTCGGCACCTCAGCTTGCGAGAGCTCGCGGAGCTGAGCGTGCCGAGATGAACAATTTCAACTTCAGCCAATCGGCTCGCACGTATAAACCAGCGCGTCGCGATGCGACAGCTGGCAGGTTGTTACGGATGAGCCGATTGGCTGAAGGTGCTGTCAATCATCTGACTGCACTCAGCTCACACACTGCACGCAAAGCTCCGTGCCGGATAGCTTTGCTTCGCTCTGAACGGCTTCGCGTGCAGTGTGTCACGGCCTTTAGCTGCATTTTTTTAAAAAGAAAGCAAGCATACCAGACTGTTTGAGAAACTTTTATTACACAATTTTATGATACTTTCACAGTTAAAATTAAAATGATGTGATGGCTTTGAAATTGACCCTTTCCTTTGCCCATGTATGAAAAAGTAAGAGGGTCACAAGGGCAAACCCCTTCCCCATCCCCTTCAGAGCACTTCTGCCTTGTGATTGGCCCATCGCTGTCACATGGGGTAGAGTCCATGGCTCTGTGTAAGCTCTGAAAAGTAGGTTTGGGGCTTATACAATGCTTTATTTCCTTTGTCCTAACAACGGATTGGAGCAGTGGAGGAACAAGAATAGGTAAGTACTGTATATGCTGATGGGTAGCCCGAAAGTTAGGTTCATGGGTAATAAAAAGGGTACTTTAATACATGTGCTAATTATCTATTTCTTTATACTGAAGCTTTGACTTTCCTATTAAAAAGATTGGAAATATTGCTTCATAGCTATCAATGGATACTGAAATAAGTAAACTCCAAAGAGCTCTGAATAAACCACAAAATTAATAGATCCAATTGTTTCTGAAGGAATCCACCAACTTACCTGTTCCAGGGCAAATATATGCTGATTAAAATAAAACTGGATTTGTTCATTGGCAATGTTAATGCAAAGCTGCTCAAATGAGTTCCGTTTGAAGTTTTCAAATCCAAAAATATCTAGGATGCCCACGTTCATGCCACTCTCGGCATTGCTAGAGACAAAGAGAACTTTGCTTTTAGCACACAATTTCATGGCAGTCATAAGCTTAAGGTAATATCTTAAACCTGGTCAGGATTTGCATATTATTTAGACTTATTTAGAATATTTTTCACTCATTATTATAATTAGAGTTGCATGATTGAATATAATTAGAAAGCACTTTAAAATAAAAGTCAATTCCAGATATAGCACCTTTAAAGGGAAAATGATCAGCTGAAATACATTTTCTTGTTTGTTTCAAAAGCATTATTTCTGTGTATCTTTTGTAGTTGTATATGTACATGTGGGCAGTCATATTTGCGCATTGTTTATGGTGGCTCAGCTTCCTGTTTTGCACTGCTGCACAATGGTTCTGGCTGAATGTGCTTCTGCTCAATGCAGTTCTATGATTCTGGATTTTTGTCTGGTAGCAGAGCACGCTGTGTGGCTTTTACATAAAACCAACAGTTTCTAATCAAAGCAGCACTGTGACTGCAGCAAAAGACAGATCTGTCACTAATCATTAAATCATATATTTCTGCACTGAGGATCTGGCACTGGAATTATTCAGCATGGGGATTTCAGAGCGAAAAAACAAAAACAAATATTAGTTCTCCACACATCCTGACCCTTATCCCTAACCCAACTCTTAGGCTGACCCTAGCCTTCCCTCTTACCCAAGCTGTAAAACTTAACCAAACCATCCCTAAATCTTAAACTCTACCTAAGACTTCACCTAACTCTAAAACTTACCCTGTCCCTAACACTTAACCATAACATCAACCCTAAGCCTATCCCTTTAAATTAACCTTTTACACTTAAAGGAGAACTATGAGGTGAGTGATTTTCACTCATCCTTATAGTTAGAGCCGACGTGTGACAATTAAACTGTCACAGGTCGGCTCTATCGATCGGGAAGCGAGCAGAAATATGCCACGGATCCGCTCACTTCCCTATCATCTCCCTGCAGTGAGTGGGGACTGTCAGTCACCGCTGACCCACAGGGATTCCCCCCTCCCCGCTTCGATCTTCCAGCGCTGAGTGGAGGAACGATCGGGGGAGGGGGCGGTCACAGCTGGCTCTGCCTATAGATAGGCAGAGCCAGCTGTCAATCACGCAGCTGGGTGGATCTCAACAGTATTGTCGGGATCTGTACCGGCTGCGGCACTCATAGTATATTGCGGGCTGTTAAACCACGATGTACTGAGCTTTGGGTCATGGAAGGAGATTAGTATATGTCCTCCCGTGACCCTAAAGAGAACTATGGGGAAAAACACTTACCCCATAGTTATCTTTTAACCATATACATAGTTCCTAATGCACTTTCTTACTAGTCCACCCCCAAGTCACTTAAACTCACTTTCCCCATGCTCCCCTTCCACTCTGTTGATCCCGGAGGTAAACCCCCGTGGAATCTCCATGTGGGATATTTTTGGAGCTTACACAGAGTTAATGATGTCATCTTCCTCGTCAAATAACAGTGTTCGGGCCTGGTGCTTGGCTGCTTAGGCCTGAATACTGCATATGTACCGCAATGAGAGGAGGTCTCATTCTCCCTAACACTTGGAAGTAGGAATGTTCAGATACTATGTACTGTACTCGGTACAAGTACAGATACTTTTCCAGCTACAACACTAAACTTGAGAAAAATTCAAAAGTTAGGAGGCAGATGTCATTTTTAAGGCGCATACGGAGCTCCTGGGATTTGTGCATCCCTGTTTTATTGTTAGGGGTTTTAAAATATATATATATATATATATGCACCAATACCATTTTTTAAGTACAAGCACTGATACCTGTCCTCACAGATACAAGTACTGATACATTTTTGTTTATTGTCATGTGACAGTTTTTCTAAAACAATACAGACTAATGATTTCAAAACAGTGGTGGAGCGTCAGGGCCAGGTCACAGCTGCAATCGCTGCCACTCTGGTAGCTCTCGTGAAAATGCCAAGTATCGGCACTGGTCTCTGAACTGGTATCTTGCATCCCAACTTGGAAGTATTGAATATTTGCAGCAGCTGTGATGGAGCAACTGATCATCAGGGGAACATGGGGAAGGAAAGTAACAAACACTACCACGCCATAACCCTCCAATAGTTGCCATTAATGCTAAGCATCAATATTCCTGAACCAAATTCTACTAAAATTGCATAGCTAAAAAAAATGCTATGTATATAACTGCTTTAGGAACCTGCAGCACCTTTGCAGAGGAAAACGCATGCATTACTTGCCATATATTTTTGTCTGGCTGGAGCAGAGTATTGATTCGGTTCACAATCCAGCTGAAAAGTCTGCCATACAAAGCTTTGGACATGGCGTCCCTGACATCAGCAGCTTTATCTACTGTATTAGTGCGTATGATGGTCTCCCCTCTTGTTACTACACAATGTGAGGTGAGCGCCTCCTGGAATTCTTCTGCACCAATGCTGAGAAGGACAGCAGCTTTCAAGAAGAAGAGAATAACAGAGATCAATATAAATTACAAATAACACTAACCTAGTGGAGAAAGAGGTTATTGTCTTACAGTGAAATGCTGTTGATCTAGTAACTAAAATTAACAAACACTTTTTCTTCTTTATATGATAGTATCGAATGAGCTCCTTTAGGTTTTGATACCCCAAAACATTATGTGTCGGTGCTCACCCGCTTCATGACATTATTAAATGGGGGAAGATTATGTCGCATCACATGTGCACAACATTTTTTTAACAGATCAGAACTGTCCAGCTATGACTTAATAAAGAGGAGGTTGGGGTTGCCACTATGAATACCAATGACTGGGGGGTGGAGAGGTCAGAGAGAGCTCAGTTGTAATATACACAGATTGCTTGCAGACCACAGAGGCAGCCATTTCCATGAGGAAATGAAGAGAAAAGCTAAGAAAAAACATAAGTTTCTGTGTTCATATACAGCAACTGCATATGCAGGCACTGCAAAAATAAAGCCGTTAATACTTTCTCATACCAAATACTCCATGAGGACCACTGTGTTTTGTGTGAATCTCTGCCGGACCTAATCAACAAAATGAAATAGAAAAGAGCTGGCACTCGTAGGAATCCTCTTAATGATGTTTCTTTATTGAAAAGGCATAAAAGCAGCTACAAAGGGTCCTAACATGTTTCAGTCCCCCAAGGGACCTTGATAATGGTTCCTAGGGGGGCTGAAACATGTTGTTGCTGAGTTTATGCCTTTTCAATAAAGAAACACCATTAAGAGGATTCCTACTAGTGCCAGCTCTTTTCCACTATAACTGCATATGCCTGCTTCATGTTCACTCGGTGTACATTGCTGGCATATATTTTTCTTTTAAGTACCTCTGCAAAGGTGGAAATGGGCATTAAGATAGGATGTCTTTTGAAAATGAAGAAGAACATCCATCTCTCTATTTGTATATAGAGTGTATGTATATATAGATATATATATATATACTTCTGTTGAGGGTTATGAAGAGATGCGATGATAAGACGTTGGCTCCACCAAAGTCTTAAACCTAACTATAGCAGCCAGTACCCTGCACCGGAGTTTCCACCATCCACCTATCAACCTTAACCAATATAAGGAGCTCTCTAGCTTTGGCTTTTCCCAGGTTACATTATATACAGGCAGGGTTGGATTTTCAGCACTGGAGCCTGTAGGAACACAACCTTTACCAAAGCAACATTTCCCCTAGGATCACTTTTTTTTTTATTCACAACGTTTTCTTGTTTCCTTTATTATATTATTACTGATGATGGGGAAAAATTATTGGACAATAACTATATAGGCTTTGGCCGTCTCTTTATCTCTGCCAACTGTAGGCACAGGCCTACTATGCTTGAGAAGAATTGCCACAGGTAAAGTAAATCAATGCAGTGTGCAAAACTTGGCACCCTGAGGAATATCTGCCTATAACTGAAATATTTGGGTGGATTGAACTTTTACTAACACATAAGAACTACATTTCCAGTTCACTGGACATACCATTTAGGGGGAACATGACATATATTTTTATAATTAAGCCTACATTATTTCATGGTTTTGTTCCCTTGTTGTAAAGAAAATTAAATTGCTAATTAAACATATTATCAGTGATATACAAGTACATTCAGCCTTTATGCTGGCTCTTTCATTATACCATTTTCTAAGGCTTCTCCATCCGGAACCTCGCTCTTGTCTGTCTGGTGCTTGGAGGAAATGGCAGTAAATTCAATGTTTCCTGTGTTTAGTATTCCAGCCAGAATCCTGTACACTGAATGGACCTCCTGAAATTGCAGGTTAAGTGTTTAAGACATGTATACAAACATAAATGATTGGTTTACAGGGAGAGTAAACATATCACTGGTCTATAGCAGGTAATGTCTAGTTTAATAATAATTACTATTTGCATTGATATTTTTATATACAACAATTTTGCATTCCTGTGACCCAATCTGTAAATGGAGTGCATCTCTAAGAAAAGAGCTATGTGACATGTAGCAGTTCACCAATTAGATAATCCTAAGGCTGACTTCTCACCTATGGCTTGCTGCAATGTGCACATTGCTATAACACACGGTATCGCATTCTGCATGAGTTAATATGTTGCAGTGCTATTAATATTTAATAGCACCCCATCACACTAAAGGAGTGTGTCTGCTTTGCAGCACACCCCAATGCATGGTAAAACACTACCATGGGTTGCAGTGCACTGTGTCAAAAAAACTAGTGCAGGTGCGTGCATTTTCTGGTCAATTGTGGTGCATCAGCAGACCATAAAATAAATGGGCTGCCTTATGACAACACACATTGAGGCTGTTGCCCAATCCAGTTAAAAACGGCCAGGTCATGTGTCATCTTATGCCTATGGACACCAAAAAAAAAAATGACAGATGGACTGCATTGGACAAAACACTTCCTTTTAGCAAATAAGGCCTAGTGCTATCTTTACTGGTGTCTACATATCCTCTTAGCCGATATGTCAACATGTAAAGCAGTGTGAACCAGTTAATGATGCCTCATTGTCCAAATCTATGAACCTGTAATCTTGGCTTGGTATCTTCTATTAAAAGGGGATGCTGCTGGCCTAAGAGTGGGAGAACAATTGCAAACAACTGTTCCAATCAGCAGCAACTAGCCAATTGTGTCATGTCTATGGACAGAAAAATGACAGAAGATGATTTGTTGTTATGGATCAAATTATTCCTTTTTGCACTTGTGATAAACAAGGCCATGCTATCAATGTACTGTAAGAATGGATCAGTTCTCTTCAGGCCATGTCTAAAATTGTAATATAATGGTGACTAATTACACTATATAACTATTTTACTGAAAGCAACAAGATTTTGTGAACACAATATGGAAACACGGCTGGTACTCACTTCATTAGAAAATCCGATAATCCTGAAACAATGCTGGATTGCTGCAAACTGCCTTCTGTAAGATTCTTTAGATATGATATCTTGCATCACTGAACCCGCCTCGTTGTCAATATATCTATTCATGGCAAGAAAAAAATAGAACAATAAAATCAGAGCTAAAAATACACTGGGCTTATTCAGTAAAGCAAGGTAAAGAGAGATTGTGTGCAGCTAAGGCGGCTAAAAGAAAATGCTCAGATCAAGAAACAATTGTATGTCTGTAGGTTGTCCCCAACATGTCCCAAACTGGCTGACTTCTTTAGGAGAACAAAGCGAAGAGATGGGATTGATCTTCAATGCCAATTGCTGATATTTTCGCCCTGATATTAAGTCGCTTCTTAGGTGCCATACTCTCTAGAGCTACAAACATGCATGTTGTCAGGCGGTTCAAAAATCTTTAGAAATCAGCAGGACCTAATTTTGCATCTATGGCTGACCATAATTTAGGATCCACAGGTATCTTAAAAACTGAACTCCAGGTAAACCACGAAATACACAGTTGTAATTCTATTCAGCCAGTCTTATGTAACACTTTTCTCACAGTATGACACATATTGCCACCTGTACATCCTCCCCTTAGAGGTTATATACAAATTGTTCCTTGTATTTAATCTTTTTAATTTATTAAACTCTTTTTTTCCCTCTTTCCTTTAGCACCCATTCCATTTTAGAGGGAGGAACCTCATTTCCTATTTACAACCCTGTTGACTTGTGTAATCCCTTTACTTTTGTCTCTATTTGCATTCTTCTATCAAATCTCTCTTTTCATTCCCTCTAACTAATAAATCCCTAAGCACCCATGCCTAACATGTGTCGCCCCTATTCAGGCTTCACCGGGGATTTGTGCAAATTGTGCCAACAAAACAGTGTTAGTGCTTTTGTGCCATCACCAGGAAAACAAACAGTCAGTCTTATGGTCTAGACACTCCAGTAGGAGAGCACAGCCAAGCTGGTGACCTCACTTTTCTCTACTGCAGTCAAACAAAACAGCTTAAGCTGGCCATACACAAGTATAAGCTAATTTAAAAAATCTGATTTTGGAACGTTCGATCATTTTTCTAATAGTTATTGGGGGAGCATTGTGGAATTTTTTTCTCAAATTAGCAAAATTCTAAAAGTGAATGTGGTTTTTGTTTGGGAAACTCCATTAATTTCCAAAATCAAATGTTAATATCAAATTACATTTATAACGACATTCGTCAAGTCTCTTATGAGGCCAATATATGATCATTATAAGTCACAGTCCACCATCCCGCCCCCCACCCATGACCAGGCTGCATGGTAGACAAGGAAGGAAAATTACCACATCATTCTGCTCAATATGCCTTTTCCTGCTTTTACCAGCCTCCCACTATTACGCTGACAGCCCTAAGTACCATTGTCCTACCCTCTCCCAGGCCTGCAGTCCATAGGATCAGGAGATGCTAAACAACAACCGAATATAGGTACCTATACCTTACCTTAGGATAATAATACATTTAAAGTGACCCTGCCAAGTAGTATTATGCACCTTACGGGCAGACAGTGTCTCCTACCATTGCCCTGTTCCAGCGTTGCATTCTTTGACCGACTCTTCAGTATTCGACACTTCCAGAAGATTCAGGTATGTGTTGGACCCCTACATCACAGCAGTAGAAAACACGGCTCTCTCGGGAGTGAGTACAGCAGCTCTTTTTTGGCAAGATACTGGCATTTCAACTTTTGTAAGCTAATGACAGTCTGTCTTTAAAAATCTAAAACAAATCTTTATTTGGTTTAAATGGTAGGTTTTTTTTGTATGTCTGATTAGAATTCAGCTTAAACCTATAACAGCCAATCGGATTTAACCTTTAATTATTAACACCAATCAGAGCAGTGGAACAGAATTTGCCTCAGTTGCTCTGTTACTCTACTTCTTAGTTCAAACATAATTAGATATAGATAGATAGATAGATAGATAGATAGATAGATAGATAGATAGATAGATAGATAGATAGATAGATAGATAGATAGTCAGTTTTACCTAGGAGGCTTATTTTCTGGTAGGTTATATTCGGAGAGCTTTCTATGGTGATAAAGTCCGGCATAGATGTAGTAAAATATGTGAAAATTTTTCTCACCCCTGTATGAAATAAAAAAGAGAGAGTACATTGGAGCTTTATAATACAGTGCTCAATCAATCTCACATTTTATGAATATTCTCTAATAACACAGGTTTATGTGCTGAGGATTTACTTGAGTAACAACTTTTGTGAACATTTGAGTAAAGCATACTTTATGTAAACTCGCTAAAACTTTACATGATGCAAAATTAACCCAAATACTGTTTTATTTCTGGTTCATTATTTCATTAGTTGCACTTCATTACTCTCTTCCATTATAATGTTATTATTATTATGCTGCTGGAAGAATAATTTTAACAGCTCTGTATGGTGTTCTAGAGAGAAGGCTAAAAATAGTAACGTTGTATTTCTTTATATTTACAACTGTGAGCATTAGAGGGAAATTGTTTCTCATACTGATTTTATGAAGCAACGAAATAGAGGGGAAACTTAAAGCTGAACTCTGAGAACAAAACCTTTTACCTAAATATATTCCTCAATAGCCAGAGCGGATATAAATCCACCTCGTGTACATCAACCATCAGCCATTCTACTTACACAGCCTGTTTAATAACCCGGGATTTTTCCAGCAGGTATTCAGAGATCTTTGCACCCATTACGGCCCCTGTTGGTGTAAACATCATTTCAAGATATTTTCCAAACCGGCTGGAGTTGTCATTGATCACAGTGCAGGCGTTTCCGAAGGCTTCAACCAAAGGGTTAACTTGTAGGATCTTTTCGCGCAGAGTTCGGTTATTTGCCTGTAAAGAGTCACCATACAACCAACTGTCCTATCAATTTTGTAGAAAATTCTAAGTAAGGTACCGTAAAGGTGTAAAATAAAGACAAAGTTTTTGGTTCTTTGGGTGTGCACTGGGGATAAGGGCTACAATAAAATAAACACTCAACCCGACCAACATAACAAAGGGAAATAAGCAGATAATTCTTCAGTTTTATCACTTGAATTGGGAGTTACACAGCACGTAAGTAGTTTTGACTGGTTGAATTCTCTCTTGATGAAAATGATACCCTGGACTTGATTTAGGAATATGCATCTTGCAGCTGCATGTATGTACAGTATAAGTAACCTCTAAAGCAGGGGCAGCTAAATTCCAGCTATCTAGCTGTGATGAATCTACAAATCTCACCATGCATCTGCCTCTGTCAGTTAGCCTGTGGCTGTCAGAGTCTTGCACTGCCCTATGGGACTCGTAGTTTCACAACAGCTGGAAGGAGAAGGTTTGCTTACCCCTACTATAAAGAGTAATCCAGAAGGTTTTGACTGTGTTCCTTCTGGGAATATACTAAGGCAATATTTCTTGCTATTATTATCCAGGTTACCACTATCCACTTTAAATAAGTCTCTTATTGTGGAAGCACTGGAGGAAGAAGATAAAATAATGGGCACCATCAGTTGAGGTTAAGGTTTAAAAACATTGTTATTGAGACCTGGATGCTAACAGAATGAGCAGTTCAGTGCCATCCCAATGTAAATTACAGGTACCCTACATATACTGTATAATGCATGCAGATTTTTCAGACGGTGTATTCGAATGGTAATGGTGCATACCCATTACAGGGCCCCCTCTGATCAGTGTTTGGTGCCAAATCCGAGAAGTTACCCCTGCTCATCCCCAACCCTTTTTGTTCTTCTGCCAGTGAAGATGGAGTATCAAAGCATGAGTAGCAGATACCTATGCCATGATGCTGTGAGCAGTTGAGCAGTTGAGCAGTTTGACATAAGTGTGGTTTCAGCAAAATACTTTGCGATCTGCAAAGGTTTGGTTGGTAAAGCATGTGGCAAATTCCCAGTCTAAATGCCTACCATATGATGTCTTTAGAATTCTAAAGAGTCACTTTACTAATCCAAGCACACCTGTATTACTAAGACTGGGTGTTAAGGGTGATGGAGAGGTAATAAGGACTTGTTTATGTCCAACTTGCAGATTACACACTAGAGTGAAGGTCCCGGAACCATCCCCCCCCCAATTATTCTCCAATAATTGTACAGCAGGAGGATGTAGCTGGAATAGTGATACACTATATTACATGTGGTTTGTATTTGTGATTTCCAGTACTGCTGACAATGTGACACGTGAGGTTGCACTCATTGGTCTTTCCTGTATAAACAATTAAAAGGACCAGTTCTTGATTTGTATCCAATGTGCTACTCTGTCTAGAACCAGCTTTGCATGACAAACGGCAAGTGACATTAGGTAAGACCTTACCTTTCCAAGGAAGGTCAGATGCTGCACAATGAGATGAGCACTTTCTGTCTTCCCTGCTCCACTCTCTCCACTTATAATAATGCACTGGAACAGATCAGAATCAATGACATAATTACCATCACGGTACAAATACATGCTAATAATATCATGAAGGATCATTTCTTTTGCTTGCTTTTTGTATGTTCAAGTTATAGCTAATAAAAATGAAAATATCAGACATTAGACCTATTCAATAAGGACACCAATTTTCAAGTAAAAGAACACATGGCTCTTGCATGAAGACAATATTTGCTTATTTCAGAGTTCAGCTTTAGACCTCTTTCAGGCTTTGCATTTTCATGGGTGTCCTGCAAGGAAATTTCCCATTGCTTCCTGCCCCAGAGACACAGCAGAAACTAAGGTGAGATCTCCCTAAATGGAGACAATATCCCCACTTAGGTAGTTGTTCACCTGAACATGTATAAAAACTTGAATATTTTGACTTTTCCATCACTTTCTGTACTGGAGACAATGGTCACAGTGAGGGTGATTTTCCCCAGAAAGGACAAAGACGGAAGTAAAATGCAGAGGAGGTTCGAAGTCTTCCACATTTATCCATAACAAAAAAAAAAAAGTTTTGGCTTTTCAAACACTTTAATGCTCAGAGCAACTGAGCTCGAGTTACTATGGGTATATGATCCGCAATGCAATCTACTCTCTGTTAATACATAACTGCTAATGTGTTTGAACGCTGTCTATAAAAGTATGAGATATGTATCAGACCCTCATAGTTCCCAAATGTCCCTCATTTGGAACCAAATGAGGGACTCTTTTTTCCTCAGTTGTCCATCCGTTTTGCTAATGTAAAGATCTCTATACAAAATTTATTATTTGACTATTAAAAGTTTTTACTGCACTAAACCTTTTATTTACCCTTTAAATTATGCATTTTTTTTTTAAGCTAAAGTAAAGGTAGTGATGAAAAAAGCAATTTCGGGGGAAAACCAGCAATCTATTGTGCATTAATCCTCATGGTCCGTGTTACTGGAGACGTGGTGGGGGGTTGTCCTTTGCCTACAGAATTCATGTTATAATGTGTCCTTCTTTCCCATCTTAGGAAGTTGGGAGGTATGGATCCTAAATGATTGCTATAGGTTACTGCATTTTGATCATACATACTACAATAATGTGGTGGTATCATACCTGATCTTTGCTGAAAGAGACCATTCCTTGATACGCAGCATCTGCAGTTGCGAATATATGTGGAGGGTTTGAGGCACGTTTGACTCCATGATACAGCTTGGAGAACTAAGCAAAAGAAACATTTGTGACTAAGCTCCACTGGAATATGGAAATGTTTGTATGATAAAAAAATACTTGTTATAATTAATTTTAAAAAAATGCACATGAGGCTGATCTTATTAATAACTATGGGCAGGTGATTTAAACAAAACAGGGGTCCCTAAACTTCAAACCTGGAAATAAAGTACAACACAATTTGAAACTTAGTGTGGCCTCTTCTTTATCTAGCAACCACTGACATCACTGGTTGCCAGGAGCTGAGTGGAACACTGGCCAGAGCATCTCGCTCAGCTCTTGGCAACCAGTGACATCACTGGAGGGGCAGCAGGTAGAGGTATCACTGGTTGCCAGGAGTAGAGCGGGAAGCTGCCAAAGCATCCCAGGTAGATGTGTATGGCCCTTACACATCTCCTTATCTGGATCTTTGCAATCTGGGATGCTCTGGCTGGAAAGGTGGGGCAGGCACAATGTACAACAGAGCACCCATGCCTCTATACCTGCAGCCCCTCCATGAGACCCAAACAGATGCCACAGTGATCATATGATCAAGAGGCCAACCTGCAAATCCTAGAATTCATAACCCCTTAAAGGGCCAGGTGGGAGCCAGATGCAAAGGTCCATATATAAAGAAATGAATGAAGGCTTGTTCAAAATATGCAACTACCTAACTTCTGGGCACGATCTGGGCACAGGTTCACTTTAATAGTTCTCCCAATATGTATCATCCCTTCACACACACCCAATCCCCCCCCCCATTGGCCGAACGGATTCTATCAATCACCAAGGAGCTCCTAGACTAGACAATGCCTTCTTTAACCAACATCCTGGTGCCAGTTCTAACAATAAAGATAGGAGATAGTTAATGATTTTTCTTTTCACATTGAGTGACATTAGAGCTTGGCATACACAAAGAAATAACTGTTTAGATGGAAAGATGTCTCAAACAACACAGAGATATAATGGCTTGGTCTAATGTCTTCAAAAATAACAAGCATTTAATAAAATTGCATGTGCTCATGGCTGCTAAAAGAGTACCCAATCCTATTATAATGTCACATTATTTGGAGTATGGACATCCTGACAACTTATTGCTATAATAAGGCTTTGTTCCACCATAAACATGGAAAACTGGAGCAAAGAAAAGAGGTGTTGGCTCTCATCAAAGCCCCTGTTTCACTTTGCCAGTGCAGGATAGAGAATGAAATACATATCCTGCCTGTCCGCTACAGGCATTGGCCCTACTCTTCCTTTGCTTTAGATTTCATAAATCAGGCACATTGTCTTGTTCTGCTCTCATATTCTGACATCTTTCCCATGTTTCCCTTAAGTATAATCATCATTTTTATTGTTGTTTTTACCTGTGGGGAATAAATGCTGAGATTCTGGAATGGATTTAAAGCTATTAAAATATCTCCGACATATGTGTAAATCTGCAAGTCAGCAAATCGTGTCTGTAACTGATGTACAATGGTTTCCTGAAAAAAAAAGAAAAAGATGGACAACTATATAAAGATGACAGCTACACAATTAAAAATACATATTCAGATAAGATGGAAGAGTTTGCAGAGGAAGAGAAAACTATGTGCCCCCCTAGGCTACTTTTCTGATTATTTCTATCGTAGTTTCATAAGTCTCAAATCTTTGTGCCAGCCCAGTTTTCAATACTTTAGAATCATAAAAAAAATACTGGGTGGAAGATGTCAGTTAAAAAGGATAATTTTATATGAGGTGTTAAAGAGTGCACTCAGGGTATGTTATTGATAAGCCTCAACGGGGCCAAAAGGGCATATTATTTTAATGTCATCTCAGGCTCATTACTGGTTATTGCATTCAGGTCTTGCTTAATGCGGCAGACCTGTTCTCTTATCTTTTCTAGCAATGGAAAGCTGGGTAGAAAGTAACCTCCAGTCATGTATGCGCTGAATGTGTTTGATCATCCAACACCCATGAGAACAAGGTCTTACAGAGACACTGTCACGTTGTCTACGCAAGGAGAGGTGACAGTGTCCATGTAAAGGGAGTGACTTAGAAGTTACCTCTTCTGCCTTGCAGCACTGGGGTCGTTGGTTTAAATCCCAGCCAGGACACTATCTGCATGTAGATTGCATTGTCCCCCTATGCTTCCATGGGTTTTTTCCCTTACTTCAAAGACATGCTGGTAGATTAATTGGCTCCTATCTAAATTAGTCCTAGGGAATGTAAGTTCTCTCCAGAGAAGCATACAGATGTAAATGTACAGTTTGCAAAGCGCTCCATAAATTGCAGCCAGGGGGTAGTTATGTTATTTTCTTGCTCATGTGACAGTGCTCAAAACTAGCAAATGTCTACTTGGTCCAATCTGGGGAGCAGGTCACAGGACTGGGTTGTGCTGCCTGCAGTGGGAAAGCAAGGAGCTGTGAGGGAGTGCAGGTAAGGTTCATGGGGTTGGGAATGCCCTTTCTAGAAACAGCGTCAGTTAGCCCTGTGTGGGCAAGGTGACAGTGTCTAACTGAAGCATGCTTCGTTGTGAAGAGATGTCACCAGCACACCAACATGACAAAACAAGTCAATATTCAGTGAATCTTCGTTTTTATTTTCAGAAGTCACTCAAAGTAGAGTCAAGCGCAGTGTCCTTTCACTTTAGGCTTGATGAAGGGGACCCTGCGCGGCCCCGATAGCGCTTGACTCTACTTTGAGTAACTTCTGAAAATAAAAACGAAGATTCCCTGAATATTGACTTGTTTTGTCATGTTGGTGTGCTGGTGACATCTCTTCAGAGGCGGCTCTAGAGTTTGTGAGGCCTTAGGCGAAACCTAAACATGAGGCCCCACTCAGGCCTGTGGGGTCTCACCGGGCTGTCGGGTTTAACCAGGATGGTGAGACCCCACAGAGCCCTGGTGAGACCCCCAAGAGCCCTGAATAAACCAGGGTTCTATATGGTCTCACCTCTCTTGACAACAAATTTTGCTTGATGCGGCGCCATCCGCAGTCACTGCCAGCACCCCTTTTTTTCCTATGGGAAGTCCGGTAAGGTGTGCTACAGGTCTTTGGACATTTGTAACTGAAGCATGCGACACACATTACAATCTGACTGTACAATCTCGTACAATTTCATGTTACGCCCCTGGTTGTATAGTTAATAGACCAATTGGGAGTACAATAAAGAAGTTAATTGTTAGGGTTTACATATACTTGAAAGGGAAACCATAATGAATTTGGGTTAACGTTATGTTATATTGATACATTTTAAAGTGACATTTTATATGTTTTTATTGTGTATGTAGAACATTTATTTACAAATAAATATTTAACACGGCATACCTATCACACAGGAATCACAGAGCACTATTGTATTTTTATAGAAAGCATAGCAGTTTACTTTCATACTCTCTCAGTCTCTGATTAAAACTTTATACATGAGCCTCTGAAGATAACAGGAGGAAGGTAGAGGAAAACAAAGTTGCTGATGTGACTCATTCAGTTATGTATGTACATTTCAACTTGATCTAGTGAGCTCTTTAAAAAAGCAAAAAAACAGGCAAAGCAGAGAAGGAGAACCTAAAAAAATGTGAAAGTGAACCAAGTGGTTGGAAATGAAAATACAAAATAACCATATTTACTGGACCAAAAAGATCTTTCAAATTAAATGTTTAGCCCTAGACATAATAAATACATAAAAATATATAGAAAATCACGAAACATTCCCTTTAAAGTGAATATATAGTGACTTCTCTCCTGACTGTCCTGACTTTACTTGTGGACTTCCTAACCCAAACAGGTCCACTTGCCCATCCTTCCCTCATTATGAACCCTATTACAAAGCGCTTTATGTGGTTTACCTCGTTGAGAACTTCCAGGTTGACCAAATCATCATCAAGGCAGGTATTTTCCTTTGTCTGCGGGACATAGGGCCGTCTGGTGTGCATCCTTTCATACCTACAATATTAAAATATTTATTGCAACAAAGGAACCAGCTTTAAAGAAGACATGCAAGGACAATTTTGTTCCATTATTACATATACAGGCCATATATATATTTCAGGAATGGAGACCTTCTATTCATTCATATATGTCTCGATATCTGGTATATCTGACCACTAGACAGCAATTCAGTAGCCACAACGCAGTCTGGTTTTTCCAGAGCAGATCTATCATATTTTAGTTTATCTGAAATTTTTTGTAGAGTGAGCTTCCTTTCCAGTTACCTTTTAATGTGACACAAGGCTCCTTCGAAGGGACAGTCTTTCCTGAAACATGACTTCCTTTAAATGTACAATTCGTATTTGCGCCAAATAAGCCGAGATGTAATCTTGGTCTTTATGTTACGGAATTAGAAGCAAAGTCATTTTGTCTGCTAACTCTGTGTAATCTGATTATACCCCAAATCTTGAAACTATTCAACTATTAAATTAAAATTGGCTAACAGCTAAACAAGACTCTGAGATTGTCAAGGCAGCGCTGCCGAAGCAGGAAAGCATGTTTCCTTTACTATGCATATTTTTTTGTGTTAAATTATAAACCTGGGGTAAAACAGTTTCAGGACTCCAGCAAAGGAGCCTCCTGCTGTGCAGCAATAAGCGCTGATCCACGATGAAGGTCTCTGACAGATACTTCACTTGTGGTGGCTCAGTCACATGATCAGATACTTCTAAAGCAAATCCCAGAGCGCTGTTAACTAATTGCATTAATATTGGCCCCCTCTTCGAGGTGAAACTGAGCCAGGCTTCTTCATATCTGTATGCACCTTGTACACATTTCAAGAAAAGGTCATGTAGATTATGACAAAATGAGCAGAACAAGAAATCTCTAAATGCAATCAATTCATGCTTCTAATTTATTTTACAATAAGTGAGAAGAGGTCCCAAGTTGTTTTTTCTAGACAACATTTGTATTTTTCAGTGTGTTCCTGTGCTATTACATACCTCACAACTGTCTCCATTTGGAGGGACTGTCCTTCATTTAGAAGCAAATCCCTCTGTCCCTCTTCCCTCCACAGTTGTCCCTCTTCTTGGTCTATGAAAAGCTTTTATTTAACTACCAAAAATTGTTATTCTGCATGTCAAAGCCTTATCCTCATCTAATAGTGTCTAAGTACTCTCTCTGCTGGCCCAGCTCCTCAGCCCCTCCTTTCACAACCTTTTATGTAGCTGCCGGGGAGGAGCGAAGGGGAATACTAAAGAGCAGGGGTAGTCAAATTCCAGCCCTCCAGCTGTGGTGCAACTACAAGTGCTATTAGTCACTGCAAGACTCTGATAGCCACGGGCATGACTTCTAGATGTGACCCCCCTTGTGAATGAGTAAGGGGTAAATAAAATATAAATAAAAAGACCAGACTTTTAAACGAAATCCTTTAATTGAAAAAAAAAACACAACAAAGGATTTTTACAAGTCCTTTATTTAAAAAATTCGGAATGCACTGGATCCATCACAGCCAGCTCACTGCGTAAGGCCACATCAAATGACAGAGCGGGGTCAGTGCATGCTGAAGCCCACAGTGCGCAGAAGTAACCAACTGTCTGCAGAGTCAATAGCTACAGACCTCCAAACTTCATGTGGCCTTCAGATTGGCACAACAAAAGTGCGTAGAGAGCTTCATGGAATGGGTTTCTATGGCTGAGCAGCTGCATCCAAGCCTTACATCACCAAGTGCAATGCAAAGCGTCGGATGCAGTGATGTAAAGCACGCCACTGCTGGACTCTAGAGAAGTGGAAACATATTCTCCGGAGCGACGAATCACGTTTCTCTGTCTGCTAACGTTTCTCTGTCTGCTAATCTTTTGGACGTGTCTGGGTTTGGTGGTTGCCAGGAGAACGGTACTTGCCTGACTGCATTGTGCCAAGTGTAAAGTTTGGTGGAGGGGGGATTATGGTGTGGGGTTGATTTTCAGGGATTGGGCTTGACCCATTAGTTCCAGTGAACGGAACTCTTAAGGCATCAGCATACCAAGACATTTTGGATAATTTCATGCTCCCAACTTTGTGGGAACAGTTTGGGGATGGCCCCTTCCAGTTCCAACATGACTGCGCACCAGTGCACAGAGCAAGGTCCGTAAAGACATGGATGAGTGAGTCTGGGTTGGAGGAACTTGACTGGCCTGCACACAGTCCTGACCTCAACCCAATAAAACACCTTTGGGATGAATTAGAGCGGAGTGTGAGCCCGGCTTTCTCGTCCAACATCAGTACCTGACCTCACAAATGCGCTTCTGGAAGAATGGTCAAACATTCCCAAAGACACTAGTCAATGTCAGGGCAGAACGGAGAGTTGCAAGACTGGTACAAGACAACAGAAGGGCAACAGTGCAGTGTCAGATTCCTCACATCACCTTTCAACATCTCGTGGAGTCACGAGGCGGCCCAACGGAGTCATCTCGTGACCCAACTAAGTACTGATGGGGTGGTCATAATAATCTGGCCACTCAGTGTAAATATATATATATATACATACTTTTATTAAATTAAATTATTCCTTAGAAACTAGAAGCTTCTAATTGAGTGCTTTGTGGTGTGTAGAATTGTGTTTTATTTTAATGTGCGGCTAGAAATGTGCTCATTTATAAACAAAAGCAAAGTTGTGACCACTTAAAATGCTGGAAGGTATGTAAATATGGAAACTGCATTAGCAATAAGCAGAAGAATATTTGTAGTAAGGCTCCATAGCAGAAGCCTATGTGACTATTAATGCATGAGTAACACGCATACAAACAGTACAGATAAATGAAAGCCATTCCACATGGATGAACCGGAGCTTGCTGTGGGGAATAATCTACCTTTGTGGATCTTCACAATAAACAACCAAATGTCTATTAGGTTCATTTTATGTTAAGAAAAATAACTCAAACTGTATGCTATGTAGTACAGTGCACTTGCTAGGCAGGTGTTTAAAGAATGCACCTTTTTACATGAAATGTTACCATATTCTGCAGTCATGTGTAAGAGGTTGGTGCAGGGGTGTCCCCAGACTTTTCGCCAGAGTGAGGCCGGAGGGAGTTGTGGGTGCTGGTGGTGCCAGGGGAGATGGAGGGCAGGGCTGGTGGTGCATGTTACGGGGTGCACATGTTCCCAAATGAGCTACGAGCTCTCAGCAACCTATAGGATGCTCTGGTTGGAGGCTTCAATTATATAAATCAGTCTCTATAGGCTTTAATATTGCTACAGCACACCATACAGATACTATGGGGCCCAGCACCACCTATTATCTAACGGCCAACTGATTTATCCAGGCAGCAATATCGTTGGGCAAAACTTGTGATTAAAAATAATATTAAAAGATGAGGTACCACAGAATGAAAGCAGTGAGTAAGCTGTTTGCCTTGTACCAACAATATGAAGGATTCACTGCACAACCAGACTGGGGAAAGCATCTTCCTCAGTTTAATAAACAATACAGGATATATAATACTTATGCATTTCACATGCTTTTATTTAACTCTTACAATAATCCAATTAAGCAGTCACTACCATGTACAAATATCAGAATTAATGTTTCATTTATTTCACCAGATGATACTAGCACATCCTCAGCTAGGTCGGCAGATTTTTGGGCCCACATCCTGTAGAAAGTCCTCATTGGTCAGATAACGCTCCACCAAGGCCGCTAGTTGATCTGTGTCCTTGGGCCAGCTCTCCCAGCACATTGTTGTATGGAGTTTGGTAAGGCCCACACAAGTCTGTCCAGAACAACTTTTTCCAATATCTGGGCTAGCATGAAGACCTAGAACTGTAACCACCTGCAGATACCTTTTCTGGCCATGCGTCATCCTGACCATGATGCATACTGTCATAAGCACCATTCTGAGGAGTACTTTCCTGAGTCCAGGAGCCCAGGCATGGCTCGATGACATGTCCCTGGGGACTCAGATGGAAGTGGGCTGCATGACCCTGGATCTACTTGACCTCAGAAGAAAACGGGAAGTGCTGGAAAAAGCAGTGAGTCTGCAGAGGGCACCGCTGAGGAGAAGGTGAGTACTGCAGGGAGAGCTCCTTTTTTAATGTTAAAAACACTTGGGCACTGTCATTTTAATTCTCAGCCGATGCTGGGGTTGGGCTTCAAGTGGACCTCATCAAGATTGTAGCAAGCTTCAGAACGGCTTTTAACTGCAACATGCCTTTAACAAGATGAACAGTTTTATTGATGGAGGAAGATCTGTTGACCTTTCTCCTCAGTAGAAGCAATTCAATAATCTGTCAACTGTTCTCAGAAAAGAACAAACTCACAACAGTTTGCCAATAATTCTGATACAAACTCACAAATCTCCCTCTCCCTTTCATTTCTTACATTGCATGTAGACCAGCATAGTTAGGCACACAGGCTTGTTGGACAACACAAATTCCATTCAAATGTTAACTTAAGTCAGGAACAAAAATATAATATATCAAAGTGTATCAGTCCTAAGATGTGGTGGCTACATTAATTTTCCTTTTTTCAGGCTAAAAACAAGTACAGAAAATAACCTTCTTGACCTTGCTAGAGATGAGTCACTTTTCTCTTTCTCTGAGCTGAATTGAATGCATAAATCAGTCTTGTTTTCCTCTGTAATCTACAAATCTGTTAATCTCACAGGTAATGTAAATGAAGAACAGAGGGCATGTTTATAGTCCAGCATGGGTGGCAGCCATGGCTTCCTCCCTAGATACAGTGGAGTCAGTGTAGCCACCCCAGACAGGATGTGTCTTATTTGCGGGATTACCAGGTTAAAAACAAAGGAACAAAATGCCTGAACAAAGAACAATAATACTGGAACCTCATCTAAGGAATGGTAAGCTGCAATATATAACATTTTTGCTTTGGGGTTTAGGAGCACAACACTTTCCCTAAGTCTAACAGCAGGAGGGCTGTTCAGTAAACGACAGTTCACTAAGGCTGTAGTCCTACAGTAGGTACCCCCTCACATGTATTAGGCCAAAAAGTGGAACGTTTATGAAGAAATTCAGTA